AGTTTTTAAAAGGATAAAAGGCAAAATTTTACATTTGAGATTAGATAAGCTTGCATTTGAATCTAATCTGGAGCCTGTAGATTTAAAAATGGACTCTGCCAATAGTGAGGGCTTGTTTTCCCCCAGCCTTGGAAAACACCCTAAGGCCTTGGAAAACAATGGTTTATTCAATTCATACCGATCCTACCAGTCAAGCAAATAAATTACAGAATAACTTCAAATGTAAGTCTTTCCTCTGGCTCACCACTTTCAACATTGGCCTATTTCCTGCTGTGTTAGACATGACTCAAAAAAACTCTTAGAAATTAAAGCTCATAGTTCATTTTCTCTTAAGAATTTTGATCCACAATATTCTCCATACTTAATTATTTTTATAAAACCCATATATTGTCACTTCCCCATCATTAAACCTAAATGTTCGAGAATATTTCATGACCTTAGAAAGCCACATTATTGTTTGAAATATTTAAGTACATGTAAAGTATTCAAACCTATTTCATTTGCTTCTAAAGTAAAACATTCTTTGTAGAATGTTTACTTTTTAAGGTATAATGTTATAAATTTATAGTGCCTTAATATAAAGACACTAGTCTTTATATTGTTTAGTTATAAACTAAAGATACTTAGTTATTGTTTTTCATAGTAAAATTGAAATAATCAAAATGTTGTGGGCATCCCCAAAGTTAAACTGCAATTCGTGTCTTTCATTTGTAGTAATTACTTTGCACAGCTGGAAATATTTTAATAATTAAGTTGTTTTGTTCTATTACTGTCTGTAAACTTGGCTGTCATAGATTCCATTTTATTTATAGTTGTCTGGATATTTCAAACTTAGTATGCCCAAAACTGTGTTATTGATTCTTCTTCCAAGAATTGCTGTACTTTGCCCTGGCCCAGTGGCTCAGTTGGTTGGAGCTTCATCCCATGCACCAAAGGGCTGTGGGTTTGATCCTTGGTCAGGGCACATACCCGGGTTATGAGTTCAATCCCCAGTCAGGGTGGGGTGTGTACAGAAGGCAACCAATCCATGTTTCTCTCTCACATTGATGTTCCTCTCTCTCTCTCTCCTCCGCCCTCCCACCTCCACCTCTCCCCCCTCCCCTTCCTCTTTATCTAAAGTCAATAAAAATATTCTCTACTTATGTGCCAGTTGACAAGTTCATCCTTCCCGTTTTTCAAGCCAAAGGTCTCACAGTCATTCTGAGAGTCATCCTTGACCCCTTGCTTTTTCTCTCATACCTTACATTCAATCTATAAGGAAACCAACTTTTGGAATATAACAGATCCAACTCTTTCTGACTGTCTCCTCCTAAGCACCATTATCTCTTGCCTGAACCTTTACAGTTGCCTCCCATCTCTTCTCCCCGCCTCCCCCGCAGTCTCAACGCAGCAGCCAGAGGGACGCCATTGGAAGTTGTCATATGTCACTTCTGTGGTCAGAGCTCTGCAGTGACTTCTTGTTTCACTCATTTCAAAGTCTGTGCAGGGTTGTGCAGTATCAGGCCCTCCCTCTGACCCCAATACCTGCTCTCATGCGCTTGCTCCTTTGGGGCCCGTCACATCGGCCCCACGGGTCTCCAGCTTTTGCTTTACGCAGTGGAATGCCCTTCCTCAAGTAACTCCCTCGACTTCATCAAGTCTTAGGCGATTTCTCAGAGGGGCCCACTGTGCGGGCCCTCCTTGGTACTGCAGTGTAACTCCCACCTCTACACTCCAGATCCCTGCTCTCTTATCCTTTTAAGCCCGCCCCCTTTTTTCTCTTATTGCTTATCACCTTCTGGCATATCCTTTACTCACCATGGTTTTTGGTTCTTGTTTTTTCTTTCTCTCATGGATAGGATCAAGTGCATGGAGCTTAATAGGTGTTCAATAAATATTTTTTTAGTTAATGGTAAAGTAAACATTAATAAAAACCTGTACAGTAAAGATGTAAGATTTCTCTAAGATAGGTATTTTGGGACTGTTGAGTTCTTTTTTTTTTTTTTTATTAATTTATTTATCTATCTTTAGAGGAGAAGGAGAGAGGGAGAGAAACACCAATGTATGGTTGCCCCTCATGCATCCCCCGCTGGGAACTGGCCTGCAGGGAACTGGCCTGCAACCCAGACACGTGCCCTGACCAGGAACCGAACCGCGATCCTCTGGTTCGCAGGCCTGTGCTCAATCCACTGAACTACACCAGCCAGGGCCGGGACTATTGAGTTCTTAATGATTGTATTAATTTATATTTTCTTTCGAAGTGTATGAGACTTCACATTGCTTCATAGCCTCACTGACACCTGGTATTGTCAGATTAAAAATTTTCAGTTACTAGTCTGATGGGCCTGAAGTGGTATCATGTTGTGGGTTTAATGAGCATTTCCGTGATTATTAATGAGGTGGAACACTATTTTTCCTGCTCGCATCCTTTGGCTACCAAAGGAAGAAGGAAGTTAGGTTTAAGTCATAAGGAACTGGAGGTGCAGATGGCACACCTGGGAGAGGTTCAGAAAATATTTCAAATGTTTACACCCTTCGGCCTGTAAAAAAGATCAGAAATGGTGTGAGAGAGGGAGAGAGAAATTATTTTCACTTTTTGTATCTTTTGTAAATGCATTATTCTCCTCTAAAATGGTGTTTCTGACAATTTAGACATTCATGTGCCATCCTGAGATTTTTGTAGCATTCGTGCTCTTTTATTTAAAATGTGTGTATTTATGCCCTAACCTGTGTGGCTGACTTGGTTGGGGGTTGTCCGGCAAAGTGAAAGGTTGCCGGTTTGATTCCCAGTCAGGGCACATGCCTGGGTTGCAGTTTCGGTGCCTGGTGGGGACATGTACGTGTGGCAACCAATGTTTCTCTCTGATGTTGATGTTTCTTTCCCACCCCTCTCCTCTGTCTAAAATAAATAAATAAATATATTAATTAATTAAATGTATATATTCAGCACGTTTGAATCTCCCCGTTGCTAATATAGACGCCTCCTCTGTACCTTCTAAAATAACTGTGCTCCCAACGCCCACCTTCATCCACATCATTAGACTGTCGCTGCCTGGGACCGCGAGCTCCTCCATGACACAGATGTGCCACAAGCACTGCGCACACGGTCACTGTGAGTGCAGTCGTGATCGAAACGGACGCGCTCCCGCCCTTACAGGGCTGCAGCCCTGAGGAGGAGAAAGCTCTGAGTCTGTAATGTGTTTCGTATTTTACTGCTGGTCCGTCATTTCATATTACTTCCTACTAATTAGTAATCATATAACAATGACAAGCGCTTTGGGCGAAAGGACACTTTGTTAGGAAGCAGTTTAAGAGACAGGCACAATGGAGATGGGAAAGGTGGGGTCATCTCTGAGAACCTGACTGGCTGGAACTGTATTGGAAAATTTCAGGCATCTGCAGTGTCTGGCATATAATAAAGAAATATTTAGGATGAGTTATTTTATAACAACTTTTGCAAATTTAAAGAATTTAGAGGACATATTTACTTTCTTCTTTTTGAATATTCTAGTTATGAATGTTGAAATTACTCCAAATGTTAAAACTATTGTTTTTTGTTGGTGGGATTTTGTCCTGGTTTGCTGTGTTGGTACATATTTGTCTTATACAGGAAATTGTTGCTTAAGATGAACAAGTATCACACTTATAGAACCTACTGGGAAGCCCCCTCCTTCTTCATAGGTGCTATAGTAACCCTCCCCAAGCATATTTTGGAAAATAATATTGTTTTCATAAATAGAAGCATGTCATTTTTCCATTGGGATTTTCTTCCCATTTGTCTTGAAGGGAATGAGATGAATTGTTATACCTGTAGCTTACTGTGATATACATTTTTTTCTTTCTCTGTAACAATTGGCAACTGGCACAGAAATGATGAGATCTAGGCCAGTGAGCATCAGGCAACCAGCTGTAAACTGAGCTTATACAAGAGAAAAGATGAGTGAAAAGCAGGGTAGACAGCTTAGGGGGAAATGGGGCATGTGATTAGGAGGAGACATGAAGTTAGGAGACAGTTTTTTTGTTTTTTTTTTTTAAAGGATAGGCTTCTATTTATGTGTTAAAAACTAGTTATAGAAAAACATACATGTTACAATCTTTTATCCAGAATGTACATTTAGCTCTTATGGTTTAGTATATTTTCTTATCTACAGTTTCTCATCTGTTAGGGGAATATCCGTAGATATTAGCATTGCAGGAAATGATCTCTTCCTTTTCTATTAATTGAGTGAAGGGATTATTGTAAGCAGATGATCTGTGCTAAGTTGATGCAGTCCAACTATTAATGTAGCAGGCAGTAATAACAGAACTTCTCTGGCCCCCTTGGCTGGGTTTATGATGACGAGCAATGCTGATAATGGAAGGAGCCAGAGTCTGGACACTGGCTGGTGTCCAGATTGGCCTCATTGCCTGAGACCTATCACTTAACCTCTCTCAGCCTTCGTGAATTCAGAGATGAGTAGTGGTAGGTCCCTCAGAGGACTGGAAAGTAAAAAAATTATCTAAGATCAGATGTGATAAGGTTATTTTGTTAAATGGGAAGATGCTATAGTCATTGCAACATTACTGTTATTTGTTGTTTTGTCAGCATTTATGTTTAACTTACTAGGTCTGGATTCTGGTATATCTGTTATCACTCTGTTGTTAAAAATGTGCTTTGCAGCAAGCAGTGTGTCTCTAGGAATCAGTTTCAAATTTAGCACTTTATTTTTCTCTGATTAGATAAGCAACTACTACGTGATGTCTAATGATGTGGGAATGCCGTGCCCTATGTCGGCCCCTAGGTGTTTAATAATTACCATGTTCAAAGTGATTTAAAATTAAAGGACCACCTGAACCTTGGAGATAAAATTTCCACAGGACACAAAGCAAGTGTCCAATGTAGATGTAGGTCCCTCGGTGAAGGCTCATTACAAAGTTGACACACTTCATTACAAAAGTTTGATAATGCTGAAGATTTGTATCACCAGGACACCAGAATTTTTGTTGTTGTTAAGGAGATACTATTAATTCTTTTTCCACAGTGCCTCCAAAGCCATTACACCTGCAGAATCCATCTCTGTCCAGTATACACCAGGCCCCCAGGCAGAAAGCTTTGTCTAGCGCAGCACCCAGGATGGAGGAAGTTAAACCTGCCTCTGCTGCTTGTGTCTCAAAAGAAAAATCCAGTAAGATATCAGATCTCATCAGTCGCTTTGAAGGAGGCAGGTAAGAGCTAATTCACAATGGGAGAAGGTAGAGGGGAGATGAAAGCCGGGTCTTGGAAAAGATGCTAGAGTCCTAAGTTTTCTAAATCAAGCATACATGTTCCAATCAGTTTAGGCTTTAGAAAGAGTGAATTTTGAAAGTATTTTCTCTTCCCTAATATAAATCGTTGTTTGCTGTTCATTATCCGTGTGTAGTGCTTATGCCACCAGCTCCTTCTGCACATGGCGTCCTGTGTAGATCTGTAGATACGCTCTGTCGTTTGCTCTGTACCTGTGTGTGTCCTGGGGGCCACACCGTGCTGGCCCCTGGAGACCTAGGCTGGAAAAGCAGGAGGTTGTCTCTGTCCCTGTTTCTCACTTTGTGTGTTTGTGAATGTGACTCTCGTGGGCCTGTCCCATCTCCGTGGGCTTCTTTCTGACCCACTTAATTTAAGGCGGGTCTTCTATATCCGTCCAGTGTCTGTTTTCTCTCTCCCCACTCCCTAACACTGTATGCTAGGAGTGGTGAAGAGATACTGACAATAGCAAAATTCATGTTAAATTTCAGTCTTACATTTATTTGGTACAGTTTTTTATTTCTTTAGTCCTAATGTTTCCAAAAAGGTAGGTGAGATACTGTGTATTTCTCACTTAAAGATAAAAAAAAAACTCATATAAGTTGCTTTTCTATTTGTATGATCCTCAGTTGTTTTTTTCTTAGAATTCCCATCACTGACAAATAGAATTTTTGAAAAATTTTATTAGAAGCATTTTATTATTTTTATGTCACCAAATGTCTGTATATAATTTAACAGCCTATATATAAATTTATTCTGATCCTTGTAGCTAACTATTTCCATTAATTCCAGTGTAATATTTGGGAATGGTTTCCCATTAGGTAGTTTCATTATTTGCAGGATTTATTGTTATGTATGTAATGAGTCAAAGCTTGAAAATGCTCTCAAAATTTTCTGGAAATTGTGACCAAGTACAGAACTGCAGTGTCCCTCATTTAAAGTGAGACTATATTTAGTAACAAGTTCTGGAGCGAATTAGTTCAGAAGCTTGTCTTTAATTTTCATTTCCAATCAATTGTGGGAACTTGAGTCATGAATATTTAAACTTCAACACCTCCCCCTCTGAAGTAGGATTTTAAATAGCTTTGCCATCTTAAATGATAGCAGTCTTTACTAGACTGATTTAATGACACCTAAAATTGTTTTGTTGCTCAGGACAAGTGGATTTAATCTCACATTGAGCGACCCCGCACTTTTGCAGGTTTCCAGGGCCCTGCCCAGTGACTGGGTAACATGAGGGGCACGGGAGCCCTGGCCTCTGCTTCCAGTGCATGCCCGACCTGAATTCCTTCAAAGGCCAAGTCCTCTAGACCTCACACATATGCTAACCCTCTCTTTGCAGTCCTCCCTGTACACAAAGGTGTGCAGTGTTCCAACTTAACAATAGCAGTTTGGTTTTTTTTTTTACTTTTTCAGGCTTCACAGATTCAAAGTCATATTTTGATGTAAAGCTGTTGGATCTAAGGAGACATATGCTATAATTTATGACATTTTAAGAAAACTTGTTCTGCTCTGGCTGGTGTGGCTCAGTGGATTGAGTGCTGGTCTGCAAACCAAACCAAGGGATCTCTGGTTTGATTCCCAGTCAGGGCCAGGCCCTCAGCAGGGGATGCATGAGACACAACCACACACTGATGTTTCTCTTCCTCTATTTCTCCCTTCCCTCCCCTCAGTCTGAAAAATAAATAAATAAGAATTTTAAGAAAAAAAAAAGCCCATTCTAAGTGAAGATAGGATGTTATGTGAACATTTTGGCAAACCTGGTGAAGGGCTGTTACTTGCGGCTGCATCCACTGCCAATATAAAAAATAATCACATGTTCGTAGTGAGGTGTTCTCAGTAGAAACTGACCCTAAAGATATATGAAGGGTTAGTGCTGGGTTGGGTCTATAGGGCTGGAATGGGAAGTTTGTGCTTCCTGATGAGTGATGTCCATGTGCCTACAGTGTAGCTCTCAGGTTATAGCCCACTTGTTGTAGCTTAAACTAGCTGTGTGTGGGATGGATGGGGATTCACAGGCTGTGAGTTACCACATAGGATGACAAGAAAAACCCGGAGTGAGGGGAGACAGTGACACACACCCCAGCATTGCCCTGGACCCTTGCGGCTGTGCCTCTCGCCACCTCCCTCCACCCTGCGCCCTCTTCCTGTGCAGGGGAGGATGGGAGCCCTCGGTTGCCTTCCCGCGTTTGTGTGCAGTTGCTCTCCTGCTCCTCACTCCCTCCTTCATGTTCCCGTGTGTGTAGTAAACTGTGGGGTTCAGACCACGGGATTTAGCGTCAGACTTCACAGCTTGAACTCTGGCTTTCTCATTTGTTAGCTGTGTGACATTGCCACGTTGTATAAGATTCAAGCATGGACCTATGGGGTCTCTATTTTGGAAATATAATGAGGGTGAAACAGGATAATCATTGTGAAGGGCTGGGGTGGTTCTGGCACTTAACAAATGTTAGCTGCTGGCATTGAATTAGTGCCACGCTCATTGTCACAGTCGTAGCCACTTGTTACTCATCGGGTAGGTGTCGGGCGCTTTCCGTATGGCAAGTGCTGTGCTGGGAAGTGGGGATAGAGCAGAGAACAAGGCGGGCACATTCTGCCCCTTCACAGGGTATTTCCCTAAATATGTCTTTGTTTCTCATTAGGTCATAGGGACCTCTCCAAGATTGCAGCCCAGGGGTTTATTCCTCTGGGGTAAACCTCCTTGGAAAAATCCTCTCGGGTTTTCCTCCTCGGAATCCGAGACTCAAATGCTTTACAAATATTTCCATAGGCACACTGTAATATGCTGGCAGTTGGGTTCCATCACACTATTGTGGTTCTATAGAACGCCGAGTAAAAACAAGAGCTTTAAAGACAATGAAAATAAAATGGTAGTTAGTGGTGGAGTGTGTTGTAATCGATAGAGCCATCCAGGAGGTGACACCTGAGCGGCCACCTGAGTGATGGCGGGAGGAAGCCACACCAGTGTCTTGGGGAGCTTTGTCCTGGGCAGAAAGAACAATGGCTCCAAGATGCTTAGATGTGTGTGTTTGCTCATTGGGAGTGGGGGGCAGCGAGGAGACAGGCGCGACGAGAGCACTGTGAGTGAGGAGAGATGGAATCTAACGAGGCCGGGACTGGCAGAGTATACAGACTGCCAGAGGCCGTGGTCAGGGTGCCAGGCTCACTGTGCAGCGTGCGGGGAGCCCTCACAGAGTCTGGTCTCCGTGGCCGACTTGCAGGGACTGGACCGGAGGGATGGCGCGGGGAAGCGGGCAGGTCAGTCAGGAGGCTGTGGCAGTCTGTGCCGCTTCCAGACAAAAATAACTTTCGGTTTCTGACCTCTTCATAAATTGAAGGCTCGCTATAATTGTCTTTAGAAAGGTAAGAATTAAAGATCTTGGGAAAAGATGGTTTTGTTACATATCAGTATTTCTCCTATTTAAGTCTTTACTAACTAGCCGTATTGATAAGCAGCTCAAGGAAATGTTTCAGGCCTTACAGATAAAGCTCGGGCCTGCCATCTCTATTTAAATGTGTGAGTGTGGGTAGCATTACGAGAGACTGGAAACAACACTGGAATATTCCTGTCTGTGTTTCTAAAACCATTGGGGGGCGGGGAATGTCTTTCCTAAATATCCCCTTTCAGCTGGAATAAACTTCTTTCTATTCTAGAGCTTATCCATGCTAATGTTTTCACACTTCCTTTTTCTTTTATCTTTTAGCACATTATCAAGTTATAGCGATTTGAAGAAAACGTCTGCTATGAACCCAAATGCTCCTAGAACCCCTGGAAGGCTTGGGTTGACAACCACACCTCAGCACAAACTCCTCTCCCAGCACCCGCCACAGAAGCAGGGAGATGATCCAGGTCCAGCTCAGGGTGTACAGACTTGTGTGGCTAACGGTGTGGCGGAGGCTCAAAACCAGGTGGAATGTGAGGAGGATAAAGCGGCCGCCACTGGCCCGGACATGCCTATTCAGACTTCCGAGCCCTTGCTTGGTGTGAGCTTAGTGAATGGAGAAAGGGACGAGAGCACCACAGGCCCAGCCTCACCCACAACAAATGACTGTGATGCAGAGGCTTCCGACAGTAGCTGCAGGACTCCAAGTGCAGACCCAGCCCTGCCCCTGGAAGAAGGAAAGGCAGACACTGAAGCCAAGGCGCAGGAGAGGGAGGATGGGGACAGCCCGCTGGAACCGGAACGGCTGGATCAGCCCCAGGAGACGAAGGTAAAGCGTGAGACCAGCTCACATGCAGGAGGGAGCCCTGATCATTCTCCGACTTTTCTAAAACCGTTTCATGGCACCTGTGAAATGGATGAGTCAGACCACCCTCGCCACCAGTTAAACAGTTTTCAGGCTCTAGTTGCTACTGAGTGTTTCACCTGCTCTTTTGAGGGGATAGGCCATCTTTTCTTCTCTGTGGGTTCTGGTGATCTGTTGTGATTTCAAGAGTCAGAACAGTGTAAGACTTTGATATGGGAAAACCACAAACATTGGTTTTGTTTACATAGGAAGAAAATGTTCTTTGCTGCTCTAGGTGTTAGGGCCCCAACCCTAATATTATGGGCTAAGCAAGAGAAAAGTATGCAATCTTTGCTTTTCAGACATTTCTAATCTAGTAAAATAAATAGACTTGGAAGATTAACTTAAACACTAGTAAATGTTTCTTGTAAGGATGTGAATGTGGAAGTACAAATTATTCAGCAGATATCTATCACTTTTTCTTGGATACTAGTTTTTTAAAAAAAGTTCTAGTTAATACACAATATGATAATTACAAGGCTCTTTAAAAATCGGTTAAGTTCAGCAATTCATTTACAAAAGCAGAAAGAGTCCCAGAAAGCTGAAGTGATTTTCCAAGATTACAATAGTAATAGCCCAGACCCCTTGTGCCCCCATTCCTGGGCCGCTGTTGTATCCCTGATGCAAGAAGTCACAAACGTAAACGCCACAATATTGGAATGTCGTGAATGCAGCAGCCATGGTCACATGCCAGGGGCGGTGAGTCTGTGGCACACTGGAGGTCGGCATCCTGTCCGAAGAGGGCAGTGGTTCAGTGAACCGCCTGAGTGGCACTGCTGCCCGCATGTGAACAGAGTTCATCAGCATAGTTCACCTGTGCCACAGCAAAAGGTTGGGTGCAGTTCCAGTGATAAGACAATTGCATTTGTATTCTTTATTCATGTCAGTATAATGCTTTGGCTATATTGACAAATAATGGCTTTTCCAAAGTACTTGGAATTTCTTGGATCAAAGGTGCATATAGAAAGTTGTTGACATCTCTGATGAGAAGCTAAAGTTTCCATTGCTTAGCCTCTCTTCTCGATTTAAAGTAATAGTCTGTGTAGGGAAGTTGAGAATTGAAAATGGGATAATTAAAGGAAATTCTGTAAGAGAAATCCAAGTCCTAGATCTAATGTACTTTGTTGTTTTATGGTGCTGTATCTTAACATGGGCAGAAAATCAGAAGGACTGATACTAAAATATTAGAGTAGTATTAATGTATTTAGAACTTTAAAGCAAAATCCACCTTGTGGTACAATTTCCACTGCTCCTATACAAAAATCCAAAACAGAGCCAATGGCTCTGTTTTCTTGAGGTTAGAAAATTAATTTTGAATGCTGACTTTCAAGCAGAGAAAGTTCAAAGAAGGAAGTGGGTGGGAGAAAGTGACTCATGCTTGGTAACATCTGAAATTAAAGAAACAGGACGTTGCAAAGTGAATCTCTTAACATCTTGATAGAGCATAAGGTTTAGCGTCTCTCTGCTTGAGCGATGGTGGACGGAAGAGAAGGTTAGGACCAAGAGCCTCAGAACTCAGACATCTGTCCTTTTACTGTTGGAATGATGCCACCAGCAAGCGTTTATAAAACAGTAAGAGCTATTCTTATTAAGGGAAGTATTTTCATTGGTAATTATGCCTGTGGTTGCTGGGTACTACTCTTTTTCCTGCTATCTCTTATTGTATATACATTTTTAGAAATGTCTTCCTTGGGTTCAGGAGAGACTTACTAGGGCTTCCTTATTAAACTGGTGCAATGTAGAATAGTACAGCTGGCCCTTCTGCTACATGAGAATTTAAGTGATGGAGGGTACATGCTGTATGTGGGAAAGAAAAGGTTTTTTAAAATTTTTTCCTCTGTGGAACTGTTGATCCAACAACGCCACACATGTCTCCCATCTGACAAGGAATATTGGGATGTAATTTCTCATGGTCCTTTTCAGATGGGAGGCACATGGCAGCGGGGTCTCCTGCACAGCCCTGATGCTTGTTGCATTGGCCATCCTTGTTCCAAGGTGCAAACAGAAATGCTAGCAGTGTTAAGAAGGTACATTTTATACTATGTAAATTTTACCACAATTAAAATAAAAACATTTAAGCAAAACATTTAATAGTATATAGTGAACCAAATGATTATTAGAACCAGGAAACCCTGATGCTGCTTCTGGCTTGTTCATTAGCTAGCAGCATGAACTTCAGCCAGTCAGTTCATTGTGCCTTTAATTAAAGGGTACACATCAAGTATCACTGCCAGGCCCTTATCCGTGGCGATATCATCATTCTGTGCTGTTTGTTATATCTAGATACGTTCCTCGGTGGGCATGGCCTTCCAGATTGTCAGCTGCTTCTTAAACTGCCCAATGTGTGGGACTTTAAGGCATAATGGAATTATTTGAATCTCACTGTGCAGACAACCAAAAAAAAAATTTGTTCAGTCTTTATATAATTCAGTTAAGAGATTTACATCAGAATAGTCTTAAGGAAGTTTCACTTACACCAGAATTAAATTTAATGGACACCTACTAAGTGCCCACCAGGGGCGTGAGAATGAGGGTTTGAGGGCTGGAAGATAGGAATAGAATAGAAGCATGGAGAGGGTTTGTGAAATGCCTCTTGAACAATCAATCATTATCATTATTAATAATTGAGAGTGGATTTTAAAATACTCTCACTTTATGTAACTGCTTCATTATCTAATGTATTTTGATCAAGAATCACCTTCAGTGGTGAAGAGAGGATACTATTATTTTTACCACATAAAAGATAAAGACTGCCTGCTCGTCTGAAATTGTTGACTCTACCATAAACAGATGTTTTTAAAAACCTCAGAAGCAAGGGAAAATTGTTAGCACCTTGTGGCACCTTTCTCTCTCACCCACAAGGTGTTACAGTATCTTTAAATTAAGGTTAACCGTGTGTTACAGCAGATTAAAAGGTTGAAGGGGAGATGTCATTGTAAGGCAACATTAATGCCCGTAAGTTCCAGGGGAGGTACTGGAATACCACGCGTGTGCGTGTGCTGTCCGCTGCGTGCTTGAGGAGGCTGAGATGGGGTGGGGGATGTAATAGTATTAGAATCTCTGTTCAGTGTGACAGATTGGGGTCATAACTAGCTTAAATTATATTAGGAGACTCAGGTAAATGGATCAGTACATTTTAGAATGAATTTTATTCAAAATGGTCACCTTTTCTGAGGTTTGTAGGCTTTGGTGGGTAAATTTTAGTACAAATGCGCTACTATGAAATGCTGCATTCATAGATTATGCTGTACACATGGAAACTTCTCTGTAGCCTTTTAATATCCAGTATATACTTTAACGTGTTTTATTGGTAGACTTTTCTGAGATTTGTCGTATTCCTCTGTATTTCGTACAATAAACCGAATATAAATGTGTGTGGTTATACGCTTTTTAAGACTAAAGTTTAAGTATGTAACAAATCTCTGTTACTGGCAACATAAGCCCAAAGTAGCAATGTATTAAATCTCTAATAATAGCAGTTTTTATTAAGACCGTAACAAAAACAGTTTTTTTAAAAAAGAAATCAGAGTAGTATTTTTACATAGAGTTAAAATATCCACTGGGATGATTTCCCACCTAAAAAAATATAATGCTGTAATAGGTTAGATATTTTCCTCAATATTAGTACAGTTCCCCAGTCCTCTCTCATTTCTTGCCTCTTCTTCTTCCTCCACACCACCCCCAAGAAGGTGTGGAAATAAATTAACTGTGTATCAGCAACATCACCCTTTTTAAAATCCCAGTCCCTGGACCAAAACCCCTTTAAAATATAGGTTGCCCTAGGATTGTTGGCTTTTCCATCCATATCAAAGACTTCTTCCCAGCCTGCATCAGTAGTCATGCTGAGTGCACTGCATGGTCTTCAGTTCATCACCTACAGGGAAGGGAGGATTCAGTCCTATCGTCCGGCTTTGACTTCGTGACTGGAGGTGATCTGGTACCAGGTCAGATCCTGGACTGCACCCGTGGGCAGCATTATTGCACTGACCACAGTCTCCTCCTCCTCCTCCCCCTCCTCCATCAAGCTGGGGTTGGTGGGGGGCAATCGGCACCGAATGTGGTGGCCGATGAAACCAGAGGCGAGTTGAAAGCTAGTTTCAGTAGTGCCATGCCCCGCTTCTGATGGCGTCTGTCTTGTTCTCCGTGGTGTGGGGGGTGCTGCAGCCTCGGCCCCAGGCGCTAGGATTCTCCCAGAGGTTTCTTGTTCGTGAGCAGATGTTAGTTCTTGTGGGGAGAGTGGAGTCAAGAACGACCTATGTCACCATGGTGGTTACATCATTCCTTAGAAATCAAATCTTAAAAAGTTAATCTGTTTATTTCCTGGCTGTTTCTGGTTTCTTCATTATTATCACTTTATTTTTATTTATTATGTTATTACATGAACCTGGGGGGTTTATGACTTTTGAACATACTCAAATAAAAATTAAGAAAATAATTCTAGAGAAAAGAATGACAGAGAATCAAACTCAGAAGTAAATCGTGAATAGAAAACCGGTGCTGTAATTCACATAAGTCACTTTTCTTCTTCTTTCTGTTAGTTTCTCCCCACGGAGTTTAATAGTAATTCTTAAAGTTGTTGATTAATTTTATAGGATATAATGTGAGGTATCAGTTTTCTGGGAGTTAAAACAATGCTTATATTAGTTATCCATTTCTTATGAAGGGCAACAAGTTTTTTGTTTTTGTTTTGTTTTGGTAAAGCTTTAAATTTCTTTCACTTCTTCAAAAATAAGGACGGCAACTGTTGCGGTCTTATTAGATTTGAAGAGAAAGTCAGTCACCCCTTAGCTATTTCTTCTTCTTGACAAGCCCGCTCTAATTCCAAGCAAGCGAAAGCGCTGCAGAGAAATGATCCAGCGTGGCCGGCCGGGCTTCTGTTGCTGCCGTGATGGCGATGGGCGCTCCAGCTGAAGCTGAGGGCGTTT